AGTAGCAAGGAATCGCACGTGTGAGGGAGAGGCAGCCAGGTTGGGGCAGGGTGGTCCCCGCCGAGGCCCGGAGGCCCCAGGTCCTGCAGGGCCGGAGGCAGAGTGGCAGCCCTGGGGGCAGCGGGCAGCGGGCCACAGCCCTGAGCCCCACACGCTCCTTCTCTTTCAGAGTGCAGCTCCTTCTCGCCGCCCACGACGGTCATCCTCCTGATCCTGCTGTGCTTCGAGGGGCTGCTCTTCTTCATTTTCACATCGGTGATGTTTGGGACCCAGGTGCACTCCATCTGCACGGACGAGACGGTAAGCGGACGGCCGGCCACCACCTCTGCACAGGGGCTCACCTGGGCAGGTGTTGCTGGGGCGCTGCTTGCGGGCCACACCTGGGAGCCCCAGGCCAGGCCCCGGCGTGCAGAAACACTGGGTCTTCACGCACACTCAGGTCTCCCTGCCGTGGGGCTGGCGTGGCAGGTCACACCAGGAAGGGGCCCCGCAGCCTTGGGGAAGGGCACCCTTGGCCACAAGTCCTTCCGTCCTCCCAACATGGTTCTGTCTGACCGCTGCTTGGTGTCGGGCACTCTGCCGGGCACTGGAACGCCCTTCCCGTCCGGGGCCACAGGCCTGCAGACAAGGTAGTGGACAAAGGGTGCCCTGACCCGGATGGCCTAAGCAGGGTCAGTGTCCCAGAGGAGGCGATTTCGTGACTAGGTCCCGAGGGCGGAGTCAGGAGACAGCCCCACCGAGAGCCCCAGATCAGTTGGTAGCAAGCTCCCACCTGGCCTCCAGGTCACCTCTGCTTGGCCCAGCTCTGGTCCTCGTTGGTTGCCTTTTCCCTGTCCCCACCTTCCACCTACTCCCAGCTCCTTGTCTGGGAGCTTCGAAGCTGCTGGCCGGACTGGAGCCCGCTCCCCTGGGGCCACTGCCACCACCTCCCAACCTTCCTCAGAAGCCTCAAGGTGGTCAGTCCATGGCGTGACATGGGCCTTTCTTCCCTTGTTGGCTTTGGAGCCCCAGTAAGGGGTGCCAGAAGGAAGGAGCAGAGTCATAAGGTCATGCATTCACCAGGGCACTCCTCCTGGCTTCCCAGGGTCCCCTCCAGTGGCAGCTCTCAGCAGTCAACGAGGACCCCGAGGGGCCGGGGTAGCTTCGGGCCCGTTGGGTAGTCAGCCTTAGATGGAAGCTCACAGGGAGGCAGAGACCTCCCCATGGGTGTGGCACGTCAGCGTGTCACCGTGTCAGCGTGCCGAGGAGTACGACGCTGCCTGGCTGCCAGGGGCCGTCATTTGTATCTGTGGGACTCCCAAGAGTTTAGAAGTTGGGTGGCTCTCAGCAACTTCTTGCTTTTGTAAGAAATAACATCATTGCGAAAGAGTTTCTGTAAAAACAGCCACCAGTGATGTAGATCCAGCCATGTATCCAAGCACTAAACGACATGACTTCTCTGCATGAGACCTGTGGGGACCAGAGGTGACTGTGCTGCCAGGCCACACACCCAGGGTCTGGGGGAGTCCGCAGGAGAGCTCGCAGGCCGTTCCTGCAGGGAGTCGTTGGGACGGGCAGGGGAAGTGGGGAGGCCCCATGGGCCACGGGGACGGTGTCTTCCCCTCACCCCGGCCTTCCTGGTCCGTAGCCTGTGAACAGAGACTCAGACTGCGCTGTCCCCTCAGCCCCGCTCCCCGCTCCCCCACCTCACAGGAGACCGTGGCAGGCCGCCCCGGGCCGCGCTCCTGCCAGGCTGCTTCTCCCGTGCGCCGGGCAGGGCACATGCCCTGGCCCTGCCCACTGACCAGCCCCGTCTGAAGAAGGCGGGGACCGGCTTTCTTCGCCGGCCCCCATTTTTCCTTTGAGACTTAACGGGCAGGGGGCGTGGTACAGGCTCCGTGACAACTGCTGAGGTGGCCTCAGGTCACACTTCTCCCCATGAGACCTTGGCCATGACCGAGGCTGACTGGTCTGTCCGTGCGACCCCTCTAACCTGTACTAATTCCTTCTCCTTCCTCGTCTGGTGACTTCTCCCCTCACCCATGGTCTCTCCCCGCTGTCCCGCCGTCTCAGCCGTGCCTCGCCAGCCCCACTAAGTAGGTGCTTCTTCACCTCCCAGGCTGGCGAGACTGGCAGCGCCCGAGCAGCCATTTGATTCGTTCCTTTTTTTTTTTGTCTGCAAAGTGGTCGTACTAACTTCAAACTTCCAATGAACTGATCCCAAGTCACGATCGCCAGCTCTGAGGCTTCCTGAAGCCTTCACAGCCCTCCCACACACAGCCCAGCACCCGGCCAGAAATGCTTCTGCAGAGCCCAGCGAAGTCCCCAAAGTCTGCGTAGATGTCCCCATCACGTGACAAAGCACATCGGATCGGCAGACTAGGAGCAATGGCTTAGGTGCCTGCTGACTGTGCTCATTCCCCTGCCCTTCCTGGGGGGACTTGTGAACATGTGCCCACCCCGCCCCACAGAACAATATGATTTTTTTAAAACGTTTTTATGAGAGAAAGGGAAGAAAGATGTATTATGTAGTTAGCTTTATAGCTTTAACGAGGAAGCGTTGACTGCGTTCACCTCAAGCTAATGGACACCCCTCCCCCAAACCCACAGCAGTAAAGTGCTTGACTGAAAGTATGATTGTTCTTGTTTTCAGGGAATAGAACAATTGAAAAAGGAAGAGAGAAGATGGGCTAAAAAAACAAAATGGATGAACATGAAAGCCGTTTTTGGCCACCCCTTCTCTCTAGGCTGGGCCAGCCCCTTTGCCACGCCAGACCAAGGGAAGGCAGACCCGTACCAGTATGTGGTCTGAAGGACCCCTGGCCAGCACGGCCACTCAGACACAAACCACATCACAGCACTACCGTCCGATCCATTTTCATGAATGTTTAAACTGAGAAAAAAAAACTACTCTAAAACTTTTTTATGTCTCAAGTAAAATGGCTGAGCATTGCAGAGAAAAAAAAATGTCCCCATGTTTGATTTTTTAAAGATCATCCTTTCTATTTTTTGGTGACCGAAGCTGCTCTTCTTTTTTCCTTTTTAAAATCACTTCTCTGGCCTCTGGTTTCCTCTCTGCTGTTCTGTCTCGCATGACTAACGTGGAGGGCGCTGTGTCCAGGCCATGCCCACTTCTACTAACTGAGCGAGACGAGATGCTGGTGCGTGGATGGACCAGTCCGGACCCCTGGTTGGGGAAGCTTAGGAGGGCCTGTGACCTCCCACTGCCCAGGAGGCAGCCCCCAAATGGGACTTAAAACCTCATCGAAGACGGATGCTTACCCCCGGTGGCCTAGCGGAGCAGGATCAGGGCTGGAGCCCTAAGCAGGGCCCTTGACACAGTGACCTCATCCCTCAGTGGACAGTTTGCCTCCCAATCCACGAAATCAGTTGCTTGCCTTGTACTTTGTGGACTCGGGGTGTGCGGAATGACTGGGAGGGCGGGGGTGGGGGTGGGGGCAGGTGAAAGGGGTCTTATTTGTGGTCTGAATCACCAGTTACATTCCCTAGGATTATTTGGGAGAGTATGAAGGAAAGAAGTCTTTCCAGTTCAAAATGCCTTATACAATCAGAAGAAAAAAATCACGTAATGTCAGGCGAGCGCCATGCTTCTCTGTTCCGTCCGCTTGCTTTGTCACCGGCCCCCGCCCCCTGCCCTCCTAGCAGGAATTCGGCCAGCAGTGTCACTGCTGAGACAGCCGCGCCCCAGACGGGCAGCTCCGCCATCAGCCTTTCTTCCTCATTTTGTAAATCTCCAAAGTGGGTTCACTTTCTGATGTGTTAGACCCATAAATGTGCACGTACCCACATCTCGTCTGTTTTAACCTGGGAGACTCGTCCTGACGTGAGACAGACCGCGATGCAAGGGCGACCTTCCAGGCCCCTAGCTTTGCAGAGCTGGCAGATGGCCGTCCCCGTCCCTGTCCCTGGAGTCGGCAGGCACACCTGAGCCTTCGGTGCTGGGGCTGGTAGCTTTTCCGCTTGGGGACACTTCCTGTGTGGAGTCACCTGGAGGAGCAGGGCCCGGAGACTGGGGTTGGTGAGACAGGGAGCGCCCATCAAATGCGAAAACCACAGAAATCAGAATCCTAACCATCTGCACTCTCACACGTGGATCTGTTTTTTTAAGCAATCACCACAAACCTCTTTTTTCAGCTTTTGCTTGGGGTGGGGGTGGGGGACAAGGTCTACTAAATCCAGGCTTGGATCGGGGGACCGTGAATCTAGCCATGTGACTTTTTTCAGAAAAGTAAGTGGAACATGCTGCCTCTTCACTTCTGTCAGTGCTTCCACATGGAAACAAAATGCAATAAAATTTTTCCAAAGCCCGTTCTGATTGCGCTCTGCTCTCGGCCTTACCCTGCGGGGAGAGCCGATGGTCCAGCCGTCGTGAGTTTGGGTGTTTTGTGTTCATTGCTTCCTCTCTTGAATGTGGTTTTCACTGTGTTGTTCTTAAAGGCCGTTCAGTCCCTGTCTTGACCAAGCTCGCCCAAGCTCGCCCACCGGGCTCTGCGGCCCGGATGCCTTCCCTGTGCTGTGGATCCTCAGTTGCTACAGAAAAGGTCATCAGGTCTGCGGCGTTTGCGTCTAGGGTTGGCTGGGGGGGGTGAGACCGTTTTCTTCTGCCCACCCAGTGGGCAGCCAGAGGAAAGTGCTGACAGCCTGCCAGACGGCCCTGGCGTGTGCTTCGAGGGGTTCTCCGTCACCCCTTTGGTGTTTAACCAAAGAACTCTGTGACTCTGTCATTAACTTTGACTTGGCTCCATTGCGCTCTGTCTGCTGCGGTCAAGGCTGAGGTTGGCAGGCTCTGGTCCTCCGGGCCCCACCCCCTGGGAGGCCAGGAATAGTTCCAAGTGTTTGGATGCCCTCCACCCTATCTTCAAGGGCATTTTTTTAAAGTGACCCAAGTTCTTTTCCCCCATGGAATTACTAAGGAATGCAGTAGATAGTGCTGAAGATGTACTTTTTTTTGAGTCCTAAAGATAGAAGCTCATCATTTAAACCTGAGCAACTGCGTCTGTCCCCCGAGAGGAAGGTTCCTGCCGAATCGCCCTAGTGATTCCGCCTCTGGGGTTTTACGAGGCCTTTAGCTGAAAGGATGAATGTCCCCCACTCCTCAAGCTAGAGGGCAGCGCTGCCCTCAGAGGACAGGCCTGCCACAAGGTCCCCTGTGGGAAGTGATCCCGGCTTCGTTTTCATTGAGACGGAGAACACGCTGAGAGCACAAGGCATGTGGCTGTCATTTACAGTGTAGTGAGTGGTCTCCAGCCTGGCGTGGCACAGGAAGCAGTGGGCCTCTCCTGAACTCTCCTCAAGATTCCCAGACGTCTAATGAAAGAGGACACTTCTCTACACCAGGAGTCTCCAACCCCCGGGCCGTGGCCAGTGGAGGTGAACAGCAGGCGAGCACACCAAGCTTCACCTACACTTGGGGCCGCTCCCCAGCGGCATCACCGCCTCAGCTCCACCTCAGGTCATCAGGCATTAGATTCTCATAGGAGCACCGGTCCCTGGTGCCACAAAGGTTGGGGACCGCCGCTCTCCACAAAGGCAGCGCAGCTCCGGGGCTCGGCGCCGGGTTCTGACAGCAGTGAGTGGTGCACACGTGGGAAAATGCACCAACAGCAGCCGTGGCCTTTCAGAACGTGGGCTCTGCAGAGCGGAAGTGGAAAACGAAGGGGAAGGTGACGTGGCGAGTGGGATTAGGGGACTCCTTCCCACCTGTCAGCTTCAGGTTCGTATTCCTGGCAACCAGGCTGAACATGCAAAAGCCCTAGGTCCAAACAAATCTGCAGATTTACATCGGCTTGGTGACATCACACACGCAAGATGAATTTGGGTAGCAGTGCACGTGCCAAGTCTCGTTTCAGTCATAACCATTTCATTTTTGTAATACTTTTTTCTTGGAAGAACCAAAAGTAAGACACCTTGAATAACCACTTTTCGCTCGTTCTGGCAAGGCCGCCTAGAAAGTTAGAATCCACCTTCCTAATGCAGGAAGCTCTCAGATGAGCTCAATGTAGGAAAAGTTTATCAACCACGTAGGTGAGGTCGCATTGCACAGAAGCCCCAGGGCTTGGGAGGCAGGTTGGGCTGTCCCAGCCAGGCTAATGGGTCTTAAGTTTTTCTCGAGACTTACAGTGCGTCAGCCTGAGGGGTGAGCCAACCAGGGGTGCGGAGGCCCAGCCAAGAAGGGGCCCTTAAATACCAAAGCAATGTGGAGAGAAGATTTTGCTAGCGTCACTCTCGAGAGTCTGTGGTGACGCACCGAGGCAGCACATCCGAAGGGTGGCCCCCAGACTAGCAGCATCGGCAGCACCTAGGAGCTTGTTAGAAATGCACATTCTCAGGCCCCATTCTGAGGGCGGGGCCCAGCAACCTGGATTTCAGCAGCCCGGCCGTGAGTCTGACGCATGCTCAAGTCCGAGAATCCGCGTGGGGCTTGCGGGGGTCGCCTTACAGGTGGTCCCTGCTGCCTGCTGCGTGCTGCTGGGCTCGGTGGCGCTGAGGGGCTGTGCCCACTGCGGCCCCTCTTCCCTCATAACCCGTGGCCTCGCAGCAAATGAGCGCTGAGAAAACAACGTGTCTGAAGGGGAGCCAAGACCTGGTGTGTCGCGCGGTCCTGCACATCTCATCTGTCCGATGGCTTCTGGACACCAACGGGCCCTTTGGGTGAAGAACTGGCCCAGAAGGGCAAAGGGAGAGAGTAGCTGGGGTCCTCCAGATGGGCATCCAGATGGGCATGGTGTGGGTGAGTCGTCGGAGCCTGGGGTGGACACGTGCACACATCCTGGCCTTTCATTTCCCTCTGGGGGCCTCCACGCCCATGGGGCTTTTTCTCGTGTCTTGTAAATACACGTCTGAGCTGCGAACACATCACAGAAGATAAGGAATTCACAGTGAAACAGACACAAGCCACTGGCCAGTCCGCCCTCCCACACCGAAGACTTCCTTTCCCCACCGTCTCCCTCAAAACACGGGTCTCAGCTTCCCTGCAATCGTGGTTAAAACCCCTCTCTTGACACACTGCGGATGGTCACCCAGGAAAGGATGCAGGATCCCCAAAGCAAGTCACCTCAGTTGGCCATTGCCGCTTCTGCTCAGCAGGGCCCAGCTGGTGAGGGGCTAGTCCGCAGGCCGAGCGGTGTCCTGTGCTCATGAACCACATGCGGCTCCCTCGAGACTGTCAACAAGGTCCATTTTCTGAAACAGCTCTTTTATCTACTTGTAAAAGTAACACCTGTGCATTGGTGAAAACTTAAGAGTATGTGAGAAGTCCACAGAAATACAAATCATCTAAAACCCCATCCCCAAAGGTAACCACAGTTTCCATGATGATGTCATGTGCAACTTTGCTTTCTTCACTTGCCACCACATGAACAGAATCTTCCAATGTCATGTAAAAATGTCCAAACACCATTTTTAATAACTGCATAGTGCTCTGCTTTACAGGATAATTTACACAGTCGTCATTATTAGACATTTTGATTGTTTCCAACTTTTCATTATTATAACTCTGTTCAAGATTGTATTGCAGAAATCTTTGTCTCAGATTATTTTTAAAAACTTTTTACTGTGAAATAATATCAGACTGACAAAATACCCATATACCCTTTAATCAGTCCTTTTACTGTAAAAATTTTACATAACCATAATACGAATATAAAAACCTGGAAGTTTATTGATACAATACTATTAATTAATCTATATACTTTATTCAGACTTCTCCAGTTGTCCCACTAATATTCCTTTCTGTTCCAGGATGCCACAGTGCATCATTTGTCACATCTCTAGTCTCCTCCAATCCATGAGGGTTCCTCAGTCTTTTTCTGTCTTTTATGAACTTGACCTTTTTTTTCAATTGAGGTGAAATTCACATAACAAAATTAACCATTTTAAAGTGCCATTCGATGCATTCATAATATTATACAAGCACCACTTCTATCTGGTTCTAAAACATTTTCACTAGACTTTGAACCTTTTGAAGATTATGGGCCAGGTATTCTGTGAAATATCCTTCTATATGCATTCATCTGGTGTTTTCTCGGGACTAGACAGGTCGTGCGTTTGGGCCAGGAACACTGCTGAAGGCGTTCTGTCTTTCTCCATGCACTGTATGTGAAGGCACATGATGTTGATACGTCTCATTATTGGTGATGTTGACTTTGACGTGGCTAAGGTGACATCTGCAGTTTCCTTATCGTAAAGTTACTGTTTTACCCTTTGTAATTAATAAGTATCTTACGAGGAGACACTTTGAAATCAGATTCTTTAACCTACACGTTTTTCAAAAGCCAAGAAACTTACATCTCTGTGATGGCGAGGGAAGAAGTAGCCCAGGGGATGGTCAGATCTCAGTCTGCGTGCGTGCCTCAGTGTCTCTTTCTGCTTAACAGAAAGGATTAGAGACCAGTTATGCAGGATCTTGTGTGAAAAGGAAAACCTAGAACGAGGTACTCGGGGCCATTCTGAGGGAGGTGGGTGAATGAGCAGGTCCCCTGGCTTCTGGAAGAGACGGAGAAAGCCCACGCCCTGCTGGCGGGCGAAAGCCTCTGTGGAGGGTGTCGTGGGCCTGCAGAGCTGGCCTGGCTGCACCTTTAACTCTTTGAAGCTTCTCCCCTTACCCAACACGCTCTTTCTGTGGCCAGGTGGCTGAGTCGCAGCCAACACCCAGCGGCAGGTGAGTGGGCAGCTTGGGAGAGGCCATAGGGTGTGTCTACTGCATGAGCGGGCCTGACGCCAGCCTTTGCCTCCCCACAGTGACCCTGTGCTCCCTCCAGCTGCCCGCTGCATGTTGTCACCAGCTGCACACACATCTCCCTCCCCTCACGTGTCGTTTGTATCCTGTGCTCTCCCCTTCACCCTGTCATCATGCTAAGTTTGCTGCGCCTACTATGGGGGTAGTGGCTTAGAATACCTAGGGAGGTGTCACCTTTTTAGTGGTCTTGGGACAGGTGGCCCAGCGCACGCCCGGAGAGGCTTGGGATGTTTACTAGACCACTCAGCTGCCTGGCCCCTGTGCACAGCTGGCCCTGCTTAGCGAGGCCGGGCAGCCCTCACACCCGTGGGAGGAAGCGGGGAGGGGAGGGCCGGGGGCCGGTGGGAGGCACCACCCAGTTCCTCGAAGGCCCTGCTTGCTGTGCCACTCCACGCCACCCCCCACCCGTGCCCCCTCACCTTCTGAGGGGCCTCCCAGCCCAGGATGTGCCCTGGGCCGCAATGTTCTGCTGTACCAGGGCCGGAGGGGTGGGGGTGTGCTCGAGGGCGCAGCTGTGCCATGTTGACCCCATTTATCCCATTGTCCCTCTAGGGCATCGAGCGCCTCAAACGAAAGCATCAGCCCAGGGAGTACAGGGGCAGCTGGAAGTTGGTACAAGACATCTTTGGTGGGCGCTTTTCCCTGAACTGGTTCAACCCCTTCTCCGGACCGTGGCATCCAAAGCCGCTCAGTGACAGGGACTGGGTGCAGCAGGTGGCATCAACGTCAGAGACCGACAATACGGAAATGACAGAGGAGCGTTCAGGGGAGAGTAAGGACGAGGACTCTGTGGAGGTGACAGATGAGTGATGCTGCTGTGGGGAGAGCCGGACTTGAAGAGTCGCTGTCAACCTGGCGTTGTGGCCACGGGGCTCACGGGCACGACGCGCTCCCCTGCACCCCGCTGCCTCCCTCAGGCCACTGCCACCCTCTGTAACACCCCCTCCCTCTCCCCACGTTGGGCCAGGTTGGGGTGCGGGTGGACTAGGGTGACCGAGGACAAGACTTTCTCTGGGTCTAAGGCGTGCCCGGAGACGGACTGCCAGGAGCATCCGCCTGGGCGTCCTCACGCAGCCAAGGGAGCTGAGCAGGGCAGCCCAGGGCAGGAAAGAACGTGCCTTTGGCGTTTCTCGTGACGTCTGTCTTCTCTCGGGAAGGTTGGGGCCCTGCCTTCTGGCTTCTGAGAACTAAGGCCATGACATCATGAGGGAAAGACGGGGCAGGGACACCACAGGGATGCAGGGTGGGACACTGACATCAGGAAACCAGTCAGGAAGGGGCTCCCCCTGCTGCCTGCCTGAATCAGACCTTCCTCGTACCTAGGCATGGCAGGCTTCTAGCGTTTTACCATCTAGTTCCATAGATGCCAGACTCTTCCCTGAGTCAGACAGCATGGAGCTGTCCTGCCGTGGCTACAGGTCTGTCCATTCACAGGTGGAGTGGGGAGCAGTGGGAAGGACCTATTTAGAGCTCCTGGGGACTCACCCACCTCCCCCATGAGAACTTAATTTTACTTTCCCTCCTGGCAGGAGTCTAACAGCTCACATGGGCACAACTAACCAGAAATCTGGCAGAGCAACCAGGAAGGCAGGGGCTCCCACTCTCAGACTGTGGGCCTGTTTTCTTGGTCTGTATCAGCTTTAATATTTATTGACGACGAGGTAGGCAGCCCAGGTCGGCTCTGCAGCCCGTGACGGCCCAGCCAGGGCAGGGCGCAGCTGCCTCCCACTTTGGGGTATAGCTGTTCTCTGACCATGGGGCCCATAGGTTGTCTTAACCCCTAGGGCAGCCCTGGGGGCATCCGCATGGTGGAATGTGCACAGACTCCCCGGGGAGGCAAGGTTAGAGGTCAGAGAAGGGAAGCGGGTCACCAGTCTCAGGGTGCACTAAACTCCAAGGTCCTAAGGAATGGCCTCACACAAGCTTTAAACTGCTCTTCCCTGGGGCCAGTTTGGTCTGAAAGCAGAGTTGTCCACCAGCCCCAAAGCCATTCTGTTCTTAGATCGGTTGGCGGGGAGACATTTGACTTGCAGAGTGGGAGCCAGCCCCGCTATCCTCACTGAGGCCACCTTGGCGCAAGACCTAGGCCATGGCCCGTTCTGGGAGGGTTGGGCTGGGCCGGGCCCCAGCCAGTGTCATGTGGGTAACAGCCCGATCCATCCTGAGCCTCACATCCTCACATCAGTGACCACAGTGGCATTCTCTCTTGTGGCGCTGTTGACAACATAACATTCTGCTCGGCCTCAAACTGACAGCATTGAAGCTGATGTCAAAACGAAACCAGGGCCTACCAGGAGGGGGGCGGGGTGCGAACCTTGCCTTTCTCTGAATAAAAAGTTCTTTGCTCGACCTCAGTGGCTAGAGTCTCCC